CCCCCTCGCAAATCAGCTCTTGTCAACAATCCAGCTGGCAATGAAGATTCCAATGCCAAATATTTCATTGATTGTAACAAACTAATTCACTATGAAAATGCTTTGTTTTTCTAAAATAAATTAAATATAAATATGGTCTGGAGACAATTAAACATTTAGAACCCTGAATGAAACCAATGATAGCCTCAAAGTCTGCCACACCTGGAATAGGACTTCTCTCAGGCAGAGCCTGTGTCCTGCTCCCTCCTTTCCCCTTCATTTCTGCATTGTCTCCTTCTAGCACCTAATTCAGAGCCCATTGGATGACTATAGGAACTATGAGCATCAAGTCAGACTGCAGTGGAAATAACACTAATAACCTTAATCCTTTGGTCTATTATTTTCTTCCCCTGATGTCTGCCTGGACCACACCCACCGTGGAAAACTCTCCTGACTTGCATGAAACATCCATGGACATCCTAAGATTAGCCAAATACAACACATCATATTTCAAGATCCATGAGAAAGTCTAAACAACACTCATGGTAGAAAATATTAAACTCACTTTTGTTCATCTATAAAGGAAATTAAAGCCTGCAGCTCCCATGACTAGAGTCCCTTGGAGATGGTAAGGGTAGGAGACATTTTGAGTTATGTTAAATAGACAAGACATTGTCATGAAGTGCTTCTAAATTGAATCTCACCCTCCCCACTTTTGTTTTTTATTTTATTTCTAACTTAAATCCTAGTCCTCTCTGCTGGATGGTTTTAGTTACCAAGATAGAAGTCCATTTCCTGCATTACCAATGATTTTTCTTTCATGGATAAAAGAATTATGGGACCTACAGGAAACCCCACATGTTAAAATGTTCATGTTTGAGGAAAGACTCTGTAATGAATGGAGAGACTGGACATCATTTTAACAGTGAGTGTGACAGCTAGCAGGTCATCTTTTCGATTATTGCTTGAAAGCAGGAACACTTGATGAGCCAACACAGAAAATAGTGCTGGTGCTTAAAGGTGTGACCAGCTTGGTGGTATCTCATTGTCTTCTACTGCAGCTTAATGGAAGATAGGAATATTATCTTCAATAATGTAGATGTTCTCTTGGGTTCGTGGTCGCACATTCTCTGTATTTTGTAAAGGTCTGGTCCTAGAGACACGGAATGCTAGCAAGCTGCAGTTGGCGGGTGAAGAAAACATGAGGAGTTCACCCTTCAGGTCTGAGCAGAGCTTTTATTTATGATATATACTCAGGATTCAAGGAGCCCCATCCACAAAAACTATAACAGTGAACAGTGCCACACAGGGCCCTAGTATTAAGTCATAGAAAAGTATGTTTAATAGGCATTAGACCAACTAAGAATGTTTTTAAAAATATCAGTTCATATTGGCATCCACCAGGATATGCATGTGATAGAACATATAGTAGGAGATCCAAAGAGACAGACACCTACCATTGAACTGAGTTACCTAATCCAGATGTACACTCTGGAACTAGGCTAGGAATGGCATGATTGCTATATTTACAGCTTTGCACTGTGACCCTTTAGAATGGGTTAGGAGAGCCTGGTGACATGTGTGAGATCCCAGGAGCCCATATAAAGGTAGAAGGAAAGAGCCAGTTCCACAAAGTTGCCCTCTGACCTCCACAGGTGTC